ACTATAAAACTGTGGGCAGAATAAATGATTAAAGGTCCCACTAAGTAAAGCAACAACTCGGGAACTTAAAAATGGACAGAATAAGTGGGTGAATAATGTATCAGAACACGCACGCAGCAAACAGCCTTGTGCACTGCCAGCAACAGAGATGCCAGCAACCCTGGAAGGTATTTGCATGATGCAAGATACTATGGACTGTTGATTCAGCAGCAACTTTTCATGAGGAGGAGACGGTGATTGTTAACTGAGGCACGAGGTCCGTCATCTTTAAAAGCGAAGGGTTGGCTAGGCTGAGTCCAGGCCCTCTTGCTCTTCCTCTTCTGTAACCTTCTCCAACCTGCTGGCACTACCACTTCGGCACCCTCACAATTTCCTCAGGACCTTCCTCGTGCCACACACATGCACCTGCCTTACTCTGTATTTCTCCATAGCTCCACAGACAGATCCCGCACCCTCCCCTCTCCCTGTCTCCACCATTTACTCAGATTTAGGATACTCAAATGTTCAGAGAAAGGGAATGGATAGGGGATCCAATAAGTACATATTAAATGTGTATTAAGTGCCAGATAGCTAGGTAGATAGTCCTCCAATTAGGGTCTAAAGACATAATCCTAGAGGTCTGAGAGGTTCACAGGAATATGGATAATGAGAGCTAGTATTTATTGGGTACTCACCATGTTCTAGGTATTGTTTGAAATGCTTTTATGTACTAACTCATTTAGTCTCAATATAGCCCTATAAAGCAGATATCTTATCTCCATTGAACAGATGAGCCAATTTAACAACATGGCTTTATCCCATCAGATGAGGCATCCATGAAAGGTTGCGTTATTAGCTCAAGGTCACAGAGCTAGTAAATGGAGGAGTGAGGACCCAAACCCAGGATGTCTGGCTCCAGAGCTAATGACTTAACCTCTTTGCAAGGCTGTTGTCTGGATCTTGATTGGGACTGGATGGTCCAAGATGGCCCTGTTACATGTGCCTGGTAGTCAGCTGGGGTTATTGGCTGTTGTCTCCTCTTCCATGTGGTCTTTCCAGAGGGATACTCCAGAGTTCTATGTACGGCAGCTGAATTCCAAAGGGCAAATGTCCTGTGGAGAATTACCTTAATACAATGGCAGGCTCCAAGTTCACCACCACACAGACTGCCCCATAGATCACAGGACAGATGGACTTATAAACCAAATGAACACACCTGAATCACATTGTTTATGTGGCAGCTTTAGAACATGTTCCCAAATTCTCTGGCATTGCTCCCACTGACTTTTCTTGAATATTGGCTGGCCTTAGTAGCTTGCTGGTAGCTAGTAAGGTTGAAGTAATGCTACATGACTTTTTTTTTTTTTTTTTTAAAGATTTATCTATTTGAGAGAGAGAGAGAGAGAGAGAGAGAGAGTGTGTGAATGAAGGGGGCAGGGCAGAGGGAGAGAGACACTCAAGCAGACTCCCCACCAAGTGCGGAGCCTGCTGCAGGGCCTGATCTCACTACCCTGAGATCGGACCTGAGCTGAAACAAAGAGATGGATGCTTAACCGACTACACCACCCAAGTGCCCCTCTGCATGACTTCTTAGGATACGTCAGAAAAGGCCACATGCCTGGTTCTTTTCAGACATGCACTTTGAGGGAAGCCAGCTACCATGGGAGAAGTTCTGCCTTGCTGGAGGGGCTGAATGAAGGTGCACTGGTGCACAGTCCCAGCTAAGCACGCGGCCAGCCAATAGCCAGCATCAGTCCTCAGCCACATGAATGTGCCACCCTGGGCAACCGGCCAGCGGTTGCCGTTAGTTGATATCGGACCGACATCTTAGACTCTCACAAAGAGCTGCCTTTAACTGAGGGGAAAGAGATGGAGAGATACTTAGGATAGCAAGGTGGAAGACCACAGTATCTGAATTTTGTTCTACCCAGTGTTCGTATGTCTTAACCTCCCTGCTGGGCCAGTCTTTCCTGTAGGTGGTGTGGGTTTAAGGACCACAGAGGAAAGTTAAGAGAGGAGGGCCTGAAACCAACATATATCTGTTCTGCCAGAGAGATGAAGGAGAAGTGTGTCTGCATAACTGTAACTGGCCATTCGCTAGCTGAGTAGCTAGGGGTTTATCTGCTTTTCTTATACAGATTACACGAGGCCACCATGGGACTATAATGCGTGTCACTGGTAGGTGGCCAATGTAGGGATGACAAAGTTGTCAGTCTGGAGGCAGTATAATCTCTATCTTATTAATATTTAAAGTTCCTGGTCTATCTCTTTCTTTCTATCTAAAGTAGCAATTTCATTTGTTCTATCCTTTTTATCTATGATCAACACGTATCCATTTATCCTAGGTGTAATGTCTCATAAGCAAATTATGTCTACATTTTACATTCTTATTTTCCACAGCAGACTTGAATAATAATAAATCACCCAGCAAACACATTACAACAAGTCCCAACGAACAAGCACTTAGATTAGGTTTGTGATGTTCCACTGACCTGCTAAAGGAGGTCACATGGCCAAGCCCACAGTCAACACGGGACAGGTCTACACAAAGGACTGGATACCATAAGCCGTGATTCATTGGGACCACTGTTCTAATAATCTACCACTAATACACTTAGAAGATAGTTGAGTCAGTTGTCAAACTTTCAGCCATCTGTTTCTGGAGCCCACCCACAAAACTGGTGTCCTAAAGACTGTCAGGAATGGGTTCTTACTGAGTAGCTTTTCCAAACCTCACTTCCCAGGTCCTGCCCCAAGACCAGTGAGTCAGAATCCCTTGTGGGTAAGAGATACAGGAGAGAAGTTGGTAGTAATCCCAAGAATTTGAGACTGAAATAACTCTACAGAGGATTCCAACACACACTGGGAATGCAGAGGGTTTCAAAAACAAGAAAGACACACGTCTTTACACCCAACTTCATTTTCCACCAAGCACATTTTTTTTTTTTTTTTTTTACGTAATCTCTACACCCAAGGTGGGACTCCCAACTCACCACCCCAAGATCAGGAGTCACATGCTCCTCTCAACTGAGCCAGCCAGTCACCCCTCACAGAGGACATTCTTAACTGTCATTATTACACTAGAGAGGCTGCCTTGAAATTTTTTTTTGTTTTTTGTTTTTTTTTTTAAGATTTTATTTATTTGACAGAGAGAGATCACAAGTAGAGAGAGAGAGAGAGAGAGAGAGAGAGAGAGAGGAGGAAGCAGGCTCCCCGCCTAGCAGAGAGCCCGATGTGGGACTCGATCCCAGGACCCTGAGATCATGACCTGAGCCAAAGGCTGAGGCTTAACCCACTGAGCCACCCAGGCAGCCCCTTGAAATTTTTTTTTAAAATGCTTTTTATGTTTAAGTTAGAACAGTGGTTCTCAAACTTTTGTGCGCATCTGTATTAACTGGAGGACTTGTTAAAACACAGATGGGGGCACTTGGGTGGCTCAATTGGTTAAGCGGCTGCCCTCCGCTCAGGTCATGATCCCAGAGTCCTGAGATCGAGCCCCACATTGGGCTCCCTGCTCAGTGGAGAGCCTGCTTCTCCCTCTCCCTCTGCCTACTTGTGCTCTCTCTCTCTCTCTGTCAAATAAATAAATAAATAAATAAATAAATAAAATCTTTAAAAATAAATAAATAAAAATTAAAACAAACAAACCACAGATGACTGGGCCCAAACCCCAGTTTCTGATTCAAGGGGTCTAGAGCAGAGTACGCCAATTTGCATGCTTAACGAGCTCTCCTGTCCGCGAACCACACTCTGAGAACCGCTGAGTTAGAGCAACAGAATGATTTAGTGGTTACATTCCTCCCCCGACTCACATTTATATATTGCCCTTACATAATTATAGCACATTTACTACATACGAGGTCTTGGGCTGGTGCGGCAGCGGATAAGATAAGGGTAAGATTTAGATCTTGATTGCACTTGAGCAGATTTACTAAGTGGATCTGCTCTCTAAGGCAGGAAGCCTAAGGTCATTAGATTCAGATAAAGGGGCGATCTCCTTCCTTAGGAGGAGATAATGGAAAGGATGGAGTGGGAGACCGTTCGAGCGTGGCCCTGAAAAAGGTTTAGGACCCGGACGCGTGGGAAGCGTAGAATCACAAAATTCTTTTCGCCCTGGCAAAGAGAAAAAAACAAGAACAAAACAAACGAAAACAAACCTCGGCAAACACCCGGAGAAGGTGACATTCTTGCCTCCCGCTCCAGCATTAACGGACTGCAAGCTGCTGGCATCAGGACGAGGAAGGGTATTTTCGGTTTCAAGGCCTCAGTCTCAAACTCCTGGCCTCGCCCTCGCTCTGGAGCTCCCAGAGCGGCTGCCTCAAAGACCCGAGTGCCTGGCCGAGGCCACCGTAGGCGCTTCAGTCCCCAAAAGTCCGAGCAGGACGCTGCCCTCAGTGGGGTTCCGAGCGGCCGCGAGGTCCGTGCCGGGCGATGGGGGTGGCCTCGCGCTGGGACACTGTTTAGAACACGCCCCAGGTTTAGTCCTAGTGCTAGGGCGGAGCGGACTACGACCAAGCAAGAAGTCCAGAGCTGTTTTTCCCCGTTCCCTGCGTCGGACTTAAAGGTGGCGCCAGCACTTAAAGGGGATGCGCGCTATCTGTTCCTCCACCATCACGCACCGGAGGGGTGGGGACTCCTATGCACCCTCCTAACTCCGGTGGGAGGGCTGCCCGGGACCTCGGGGACTGCGCTTGCGCGGCCCCGCCCCGTCCCTTCGCCCCGTCCTGTTAGCCCCTGTACGGCCGCTAGGGGTAGCGGCGGCGGCTGCGGCCTGGGAGCGCGGCGGCTTTGAGGGCGCGGGAGCCTTACCGAGCGCGGACGAGGGCAGGCAGGAGGGTGGGAAAGCCGGCAGGAGCGGAGGGCGGCGCCGAAGGAGGGCGGCGCGTGTCTGACTCATCCCTCTGGAAGATCAAACTGACAGAGACAAACCCTAGCCAAACCCGCCCGCCCGCGCCGCCCCTCCTCAACCGGGAGACGCCCGCCCGCACCGCCTACCCGCCCTCTCCCGGCCCGGCCGCCTCACAGAAAGTTTTTCTCGTCCGAGGGACCGACGCCGCCGCGGGCCTTTCGGAAGGGAAGGGGGACCGAAAAGGAGGCGATCGCCGCGCGGGCCCGGGGAGTGCATGGTGCCCGGCGCCTCAGCTGCCAGTCAGGAGGACATCGGGGCGGGGTCCGGCCGAGCCTAGCTCCTTCTTCCCCCTGCCTCGCCAGAAATCGCCCTCCCGGACTGCCGCGGGGGTCCCCGCTCCTCAGCCCGCCATGTCCCGGCTGCTGCCGCTGCTGAGGAGCCGGACAGCACGCAGCCTGAGGCCGGGCCCGGCCGCCGCCGCCGCCGCCGCCGCCGCCGCCGCCGCCGCGCCCCGCCCGCCGTCCTGGTGCTGCTGCGGGCGGGGGCTGCTGGCGCTCGCGGCCCCCGGCGGCTCGCGAGGGCTGGGCACCCACCCCAAGAAGGAGCCCATAGAGGCGCTGAACACGGCGCAGGGCGCGCGCGACTTCATCTACAGCCTGCACTCCACGGAGAGGAGCTGCCTGCTCAAGGAGTTGCACCGCTTCGAGTCCATTGCCATCGCGCAAGGTAAGGGGGTCGTGTGAGGGGCGAGCCTGGGGGCCTGGCGTCCCCACCCCCCGTCGGCGCCCTGGGAGTCCTCGGCCCCTCGGCCCGGGACCCCTACCCCCAGCTCCCATCGCCCATTTGGCCTTGAGCCTGGGATGTCCGGGCCTGGGGGCGGGAGTTGGTGGGGCGGGGGGAGACTTTCCGCCTCCTGTGTGCCCTTAGGGCAGGTAGGACAGGCGCGGATCGTGCCTTGGCAGCCCCGACCGACGCTTGGCTGGTTCCTTCCCAGTCTCTGAAGACGAGCTTCAGCCCAGATCGTGCACCGATACTGTTTTGGTTGTGCTTTGATTTGTTGTGTGCCTCCCCTTCCCAGCCCTCCTGTCCCCCAGGCCCTTGCTGCTTTCTTGTGAACGTGCAGCCGCGCAGGTGGCATGCCATGCCTGCTTGGGAAGTGCTGCAAACGCGAGGGCAGGAAGAAACTTTCTTGAAAGGTTATCAAACTGAGGTGTATGCGTGTCAAAAGAAGGGGTATTGCTTCTAAGGCAGAGATGCTCTCAGCTGTGTGTTTGCACACACAGCTAGTTGTATGAAACTAAGCAGCCGAAGGAAACATTTTCCTGGAAATGGAAAGAATGGATCAAACCAGCAACTTCAGATACATAACTTGCAAGCAAGCCCCTGTAGGTTCGGCGCTGCACAAGTTAAACTCCAGTTTTTGTTGTTTCCCCAGAGGCTGAAAGAATGAAGTAAATAAGAAGGTATTTTTCTGGGAATCAGGCTCAACAATGAAAAGCAGACTTCTGCTTTAAAGTAATGTGGAAGGGAGAAAGCAAGGCTATTTTTAAGCTAACATGTTAAAATAGGATATTTTTAAAGCCATTGCAGAATGCTGTAGGTCTGAATTTGAGTGCAGGTGAAAAAGCTAAGAATTCAGAAAATCAAAAGGATGAAAGGAGTAAGCCACCTTAAAATATTTTCGCAGTTTAAATACAGCGGTACAGGCGAAATACATAATACAGACAAAATACATGGCTACTGTATGTTACATTCTGATGTATTTGACATTTTAAAAAAAAGTTTACCTCCTTCCCCAAAGTTGATAGGTACATAAACATCTCATACATTCCTAAGTTTAGAGAACATTGATTGGAACATGGCATTTGATTTGTCAGGGGCACTTGGAAGTGTTTCTTTGGCGGATGTACAGGAATGAAGGAAGGTCACATAAGCATGACTTACCTACTATACTGCTTCTTCGGAAACTTTTTCTTAGTTATGCCTTTGAACTGGTTTTTTTTCTACGTTCAGGGAATTGTGGACCAATTTACAGTACGGGATATTCCAGATATTGTCTGAGCACAATGCTTTAAGGAAAAAATGTAACATCATAATCAGTTCAGTTTTTAAGGGTGTAATCATGCCATTATATGAAGCAGTAATTGAATACTAGCATATTTGTAAGGTATGTTTGTACTCATTGTGCGGTTTTAAAAAACTGAGTTCTGAAAATATGCTCCTGGGAAAACAATATAACCAGTCACATATGCTGTAACATTGATTTTAGAAATGTTTTCTCCATGGACAACACTATATGAATATACATTTGGCCTTATCTAACTAATTTCTTGGGAATTCTTCTGCATTAACATCATTACAAGTTTGCAGGGCCCTAATGATATAATTTTATGACAATTCTTGAAAAGCACATCCTGTGATACAATTGGATAAATTTTACCTCATACCTTATTGTTTTAGCACAGGCAGTAGTATTGCTGCATTTTCCAATGAAGAGAATTTTAAATTTAACATCGTTTTAAAGGCCTATAAACTTCAGTCAGTGGAGATCAGTTAGCGTCAATAAACTTATTAAGTATGTAAGTTATATGAGGTGAAGTTAGTAATTTGTCTTCTTTGTTCAAGATAAGCTGGCAAAAATAGAGGAAACCAATGTCGTAGTTAAATGCTTATCTCCTATTCATAAGCTAAAGAACTTTGAAGTTTAAATAAACTGTTTTTGCCAGTATTGATAACTAAATTATTGCTTGTTGACTCAACTGATACTTGTTGATGCTGCTGCTTTAATTTTAGTAGAGTCTTCGTGTTCCTTATGGTGTTCAATATCAATACGTAGAGTTCCTGTGGAGATCACTGAAATCATTCCCCCCCCCAGTCAAATGAAAAACTCCCACGTTTTTCTTTGTTATATTTTAGATGTTTTTAAATACCCGACTCGACTCGTGTACTAAATGTATGTGTACTAAATGCATTTTCTGATTAAATAAATTATGTTAAAATGACTTTCGTATTATAGGAAATCTTATGTGTTCTCGGAGAGTGTGCTTGTATGAGTGAAAGCAGTGTTTTGGATTTGGTGTGGAAACATTACAGGAAAAAATCATCAATGCTTTGATATGCCTGTGAAATCTGTTGTTGAGATTTGGTACATTTGTCCTTATCTTTCTGATGTGTTTATCAGTAGGCATGTGCTATGGTCTGTGACAAGATAAAGCTTTACATGATTCTAAAGAGATAAGGCAAGCTTTGTGGGATGTCTTATCGAAGTTAAATAGGATATTGTGATTTTTAAATTACAAAATGATTTCCTTCCCATTTTTAAAAAAGTTGATGCTGCCTTCCGAATGTACCTCCTCAACCTGATCTTTGTTTTTCCAGAAACAGTCCATAGTTTCCTGATAGTACTCTGTTGGTTCATTTTTTTTATAAGTAGGACTGGCAAACTGACATTACAGTGGTCTTTCAATTTTAGAAAGATTTTAAAAACAAAATTTTCTCCCGCTTTTTGCAATTACTATTTCTATTTATAATTTTTTTTTAACTTTTGAGACATACAAGTTTGGATTTTGAAGAATAAGCAATGCTCATTATATTAGTTATACATTGCTATATGACAAATTACCCTAAAACATGGTAGCTTAAAACAGATGTGTTCTATCTCACAGTTTCTGAGGATCAGGAATCTTGTATAGGCTCAGTAGGTCGTCTGACTCAGGGTATCCCACAAAGTTGTTTGAATCAAACTGTTGGCTGGGGCTGTATCAGCTGAAGTCTTGCCTGGGGCTGGAGGGTCCATTTTCAAAAAGGCTCACTTACATGGCTGTTGGCGGGAAGTCTCATTTCTTGCCATGTGGGCCTCTCTACATGGCTTAAGTGTTCTCAACATGGTAGCTGCCTTCCCCCAGAATGAGTGATAGGAGAGAGGGAGAGCCTAAGCTGGAAGCCACAACCTTTTATAACCCAGTCTTAGAAGAGATAGTCCATGTTTTTTGTCCTGGTACATAGCAAGAGGGTGCAAATACCAGGAGGTAGAAATCATCGAGGGCCATCTTGGAGGCTGCCTTCCACACTTACTTAAAGGTGTTAAAATTAATGTTTTTTGGAGAATTACACAGAGAGATAATAGCTGGCATTGGAGGAGGCACAGTGAAAGATACGATTTGAAAAAAGGAGGTTCTTAGGGAATATTTTTGCTAAATGTGTACTCCAGGTATTTTTAAAAATTATTTTTGTTAACATATATTGTGTTATTTGCCCCAGGGGTACAGGTCTGTGTATCAATAGGCTTACATGTTTCACAGCATTCACCATAGCACACACCACCTCCCATGTCCATATACTCCAGGTAGTTTTAAAATGAAATTTCTTTTACATATAGTAGGTAAGAAATGTATGGAGGTGAATAGAGCAGTTTTTCTGTTATGTTAGATCTTAATCAGCTTGCTTTTTTAATGTTTCTGTGTAAGTGGTAATTGTGTACGTTTTAAATTTGCTTTTTAAAAGCCATTTATCTACATCTATATAGATACAGCATGTAATTCTAAACTTAATCTTGTAATTTTCACCTTTTGTGATTATTAAGGTAGAATGTTTCATTTTGAGAACTTGCCATATACAACAAGAGGCCTTTGGCAAAATGAAAGGCTGGAAGATTAAAATCTGATGTTAAAGTAGATACTTAGAGCACTTAAAAACAAGATTTTTCATTGAGTTCTGATTCACTGGGGATCTTGGACTCTTTAACAAGAGTATCCTCATTTTTCTCAGCCCATGGTAATGTGAGAAAGTAGCAACTCAGTTAAGCTATTGGTTTGTGGGACGAATTGGAGAAAATCGTGGCTTTTGCTCAAAGAGAATAAAAAGAGAGCAAGAAAAACATTTCATATTCCAAATTAAGATATACGAATAAAGATACTTCAGGGCTTTGGTTGAAATAGTAAAAGAGGAATAAGGTGTAACTCACCGTAGACCCAGCAAGAGAGGAAGAATCAGGATAAGGATATGAAATATGAATTGACTCAGAAAGAATGAACTATCACTAATAAGCTGAGCACTTTTTTTTTTTTTTTTTTTTTTTTTTTAAGCTGAGAGCTTCTGTATCATGGGCCCAGATAAGTTCAATGAAGCTTTGCTACAATCAGTTATTTTACCAATATGGAAAGAACCTAATTATAGCAGTATATTCCAACAAACTAAATTCTGAATATTTTAGAGTTACTGGCATAGTGGAGTAGTTTTAATTCTAGGGATTACTGCCAGCAGAAAATAGCTAACACAAATATGATTTTTTCCCTTCCATTATAAAATGGATATGTGCTACTTGACAATTTCTAATCTTCACTGACATATACCTTGATATTCAGAGTTATGTGCGACTTAAAACAACTGTTCTATTACATTTCATGATTTTGTGAGATCAGCAACATAGGCAGGGCTTGGCTGGATGATTCTTCGCGTTTCATGTGGTATCTGTGGAGGTCACTTCATAAATTATAGCTGGCAGATGTGCTGGTCACAGGGTCCAGGATGGTTTTACTCATATATCTGATACTTTGGTGGACGTGGCTAGAAGCTGGGCTCCACTGGAGTGGTTGACCAGAGTAAATGCACATGACCTCACTAGCACAACATTCTTGAGATGACTCTAGTCCTTAATTGAGTGGTCAGGACTCAAAGAGAAAAAGTTCCAAGAGGGCTACACAGAAGCTGTAAGTTTTTTTTCTTGG